CCCCAAAACCCCAAAACCCCATTTAACTAGATTTCAAAAGTGAATCAATTTATTAAAAATTTCGATAAAAATAAAAAAATAGCGTTTTATAGCATTAAGTTTTACTATAATTGTTGCACAATTCCCATCATTAAATAGTGTTTCTTTTTTCCATTTATTTTAGACTTTCTTCATTCTCATATGTAAATACCTCCTCTATTGAAGTTCTCAAGATCTAGAAGTTTTCAATCAGCTGCTGCCTTTTTAGGCTGTTTAAAGTTTTATAGAGTAGATACTTGTTTATTAGCTCAGATTTTTTAGCAGAAGGGTTTATTATACTCATTGTCCTTTCAGTCATAACATTCTCTTCAATTAATTACTTCTTTTCTTCCTCTATCTCTATTTCATGTGTATCTAACTGAATTTTATTTTATTGCTTTTACTAATCAAGAGATTTTCTCTCTTCTTCTTAAGCTTCTAAAATTTTATCGAAAAATTGATTATATTGCATTGCTGATGACTAGCAATAGGTGATTGTAACAGCTTCATGAGAGAAAATTTTGCCATTGATTTAAGTTTGATCCTCAATCTCAAACTAAGGAAGCTCAGCTTAGAGTGTATCTCGAACTTAAGGTGCCATGCTAATGTCTTTAATTGTAATTTTAAACTTGTATAGTCTGATGAATTTCTAATTAACTTGCAACATTGTACTTTCTTCTTGTATTATGCCCTAATTCATAATTATTATTCTATCGCATAATGCTTCTGCCTCATCCACGCTGTGAGTTGAAAAGATAATTGATATGTCAGTGAGAGATCTTAGGATTTGATAAATTTGTTTCTTGCCTAGAGGATCAACTCCAGTAAACGGTTCATCAAGAATTAACAATCTAGGTTATCTCATAAGAGTCATAGCCAAGCACAATTTCCTCTTATTACCTTCACTTAGATTTCCTGCCTATTTATTTTAATATTTCTTAAGGTCAAGAGCTTTGAGCAACCAAGCTTTCTTAGATTTAATGATATCTGGAGTAAGTCCCTTAACAATCGAGATAAAATCAAGATGCTCATCTACAGTAAGTTTCTACTTAAGAATGTTATACTAAGCGCAGTAACCCAAATCGATACCTTGAATTTCAGGTTCAAATTCGTCTATCCATGACCCTAAAATCACAATTTCACCATCGTTTCTGACTTAATCCAGAGCAAGGATCGATAACATTGTAGACTTTCCACAACCATTAGGTCCTAACAGTCCTAGGATTTCTCCAGTTTTTAATTGCAAAGAAAGTTTTTTGAGAATTGGCTTTTTCTTCTTATAAGATTTCTCAAGGTCTTTAATATTTATGATATTTTCAGTTTCCTCTGGATTCAATGTAAGATAAAATATTTTTTTGTGTAGTTTTCTGAATACTCTAAGTCTTGATGAATCACTATGAACCAAAATCTTGTAGAAAAACATGCAGTAAACTAGACTGAAGACAGGCGATGAGTATAAATCAAAGATCGATACTGATGCAGTTAAGGACTAAATTGGTATTTAGTCTTAAATTTCTTTGTAAGCAATTTATGTTTAAAATGCTCCACTAAATATTACAAAGGGATCTAAGCCAAGTACAACCAAAGCTATGTTTGCGAAATCTCCCTATTAATAGAAGCCTCCAGTATTTGAGTATGCAGTTGCTTGAGCAATGTAATAAGTTCCAATGGGAAAAATAATAGCTATTGCCAAAGTAAAAGATATAGCTCCAGAGAAAGCTGTATTTGAAGAAGCAGTTCTCACTGATATCAGATAGTTCAAAAGCACAAGTTGGCAACCAAATAGTAAATACATTATAATTATCATGAAAAAATCTCCAAGTGACATACAAAATAACACCTGCGTGATAATAAAATAGACAAAAGCAAAGAGCAAGTAAACTAATACATCAAATAAAAGATTTGTAAGCCAATATATTTATGGATCCATTCCTGCTAGGTTAATCAAATAACGGAATTTAGACTCATAATCCATTGATGCTTACATTACTAGTATACCAGCTACATTACCATGACCAAATTCGAAAGCCTAAATAAATACAGTCTTAATTTTGTTTTAATCTGTTAATGCTAATTTGATTAAACTTGCGAAGGCCAGAAGCATAGTAAGTAAACTGATAATCAGAAGTTTCTTATTTCTCTTGAATTAGTTATATCTCTACTTTAGCATTTGCTGAATATAAGTCGATGTAGATACTTCATTGTTGAGTAAGTCTAAATTTTATTCTTTTTGCTTGAAAGAGTATCGATCAATTGAAAACATTTCATTTGAATAGAGATGACTCATGTATTAGCTTTCCAAGTTTTACTTCTCTAGATCGTACATAAATGTTTCCTAGGAATGTTCAAGAAAGAGCATAACTTCCTCGAGTTTAGAGAGATTTTTCTCATCAACTAAGTATTAATGTTGACCTTTAATACGAGTTGCATGCTACTAAATCTCAATATCCTTTAATTTCTTTAGATCATTCAATTACCTCTTTAAAGACACTAGTTTAAATTTTTTGGTTTTATCCTTGATTGTAATTGTGAAAGTATATTTTGATCCAATATGGTTGTTCAAATTCTATGGGTCCCCGTAATATTTTACTTAGCCATTTTCAAGAAGCAATATTTTATCTGCTAATTCATCGGCCTCCTAAAGATGTTGAGTACAGAAGATAATAGTTTTATTGTGCTTTAACTCTTTAACTAAATCCCAAATCTATTTTCTTGAGACTATATCTAGACCTGAAGTGATTTCATCTAAGATAAGTACCTTCTTACTTCCAAGAAGGGACATTCCCATCTATAACTTTCTTTTGTTACCTAATGATAAATCCTAAGAATAGCTATCTTTATGCTTTTCAAGGTTAAGACATATCAAAATTTCTTTGACAATTTTCTATTCCTAATCAGACTCAATATTCTTGAGATCACAGATAATTTTAAAATGCTCTTCTACAGTATAATTTTAAATCAAAGTATCCTCTTGTAAACAGAAGTCAAGTACCTATCTTTTATTACTTTTATTGAGAATCTCGCCATAAACTAACAAAAAATCAATTAATGCTGCTTTTATAGGATAACTTACTCTTAATATCTCCTTCAGTTGGTTGAATTAGTCCACATATCATATTTAAAAGTGAAGACTTTCCTGAGCCGTTAGGTCCAATCAGGCAAACCAGTTCTCCTCTTTTAATGGCAAAATCCACCTTCTTAACTGCTTCAAAATTATCATCATATTTCAATGAAAGATTGCGGCACTCAATTGCTATCTATAGAGGAAAATCTAACTTCAATCGAAATATTACCTAATTTTTATCAGATTTGGTAGAAGCATAAGTGTTAAGATTTTCTAAGAGCTCTTATGATGCTAATGTAGTTGTTTAAATGCTAATACCATTCTTACTCTTTCTTTTAAGCTTGTCAATGGTAGATAAACTAAACCCACTGAAAATTACGTAAAGTGTGAAATATAGAAAGATGTTAACGAATAAGAAAACATTAGAAAGAGTTATAGCTCGAGGCTAATCAATTGAGGATGAATGATCGAATTACCAAGTCAAATTGTAAGTTATCATAAAAATTGGGTAGTGTGGAACGAATACTAAGAACTAGGTGTAATCGAATATATCTGTAAAGTCTGTTCTATTAGTTTAATTATCGTCGATTTGATCTCTTTACAAAAGTATTACAAAAGTAATTATAGGAAAGACAAATATCTAAGACCCTATTAACTACCCGATTTTAACGTCCTTAAAGAAGACTGAAAGAAACAAGCTGAAGCATACCAAGCCTATCGCAAACAGCAATAACTAGAAGAAATATAGGGCAAAATCACCAAGCTTTTATTCTGCAATTTCATCTTTTCCAGTTACTATATATGCAACCATAAACTGTAAGGTCAAGCACAGAGATGTGTAAACAATGTAGATTATGTATTATGTGATAAAACTCAGGCCATATGTAATAGGCGACAGGTTATTAAACTTTAGGACCTCAACTAGATTTGTCTCTTTGTCATTGATAATTTATGAAAATATGTTTTTAGTCAGTAGAGTAAAAGGAATAGCAACCACCAAAATAAATACAGTCTGAACGTCAATATTTAAAGCTGTGTTTCCAGCGCTATCATCCTTTTTCATAAATACTATTGCATAAATAACTGCTGAACCGATAAATGAAAAGAAGGAAATCATGTATTGCATAAGAGTTGAAATAAGCAACCTGTACTAGATAGTGTAGCTCTTTATTGTTAAAGCTTTTAGTTATCTCCAATGAGAAATATCTGGATACTAAAGCACTGACTCTTATTCTACTAGTTCCTTCAAACTTTTTTGTCTCAACATTTTTAGAGTTGAGAGTCTTAATTACTCAGCTGTATCCATTTAATTATTATAAATTGAGCATTGTATATTTTATTAATATCAGAAAAAATCCTTCTAACAAAAATGCACGAATTCTAAGAATCTTGGGGTTTTGGGGTTTTGGGG